TTGAGGCTGCCATGTGAGAAGCACAGACATCAAATTTCCTTCAGAAGTAATGATCAAGGTTCTATTTAGAAGTTCTACTTAGGGTCTCCTGAATTCACGGAATAGAGTCACTAAAATTAAAGCAGAGAAAAAAGGAGAAAAGTTATAAACAAGTCCTCAGGAAGGGCCAACATCAAGTTAGTTGTGATGAACTACAGTTCTCTCTCTCTCTCTCTCTCTCTCTCTCTCTCTCTTTCTCTCTCTCTCTCTCTCTCTCCTCTTAGTCTCTTGCTTATCAGCTCCATTCTTCTTTTACCCAGGCCCAGCTCACCTCAGTTGGCTTCCTCTTCTGGGTAGCAGTTAGTGTAACACCAGCTTGCAGTTATCTAAATGGAAACTTCAGATCTTGAGTCCATTTGACCTTTCAGTTCCAGCCTCCACCATTAACTGACCACCTTTTTCTGATTTAGTTCACATTGCATCAGATCAGTTCCTGTTTAGGCCACTAGGGGGGATATCTCCCTCCTGCATATACTAACTTCTTAGGAGTACCTATAATGAGGCTTTAAAACATGAGTCAAAAATGCTTCTGAGCCCTGTGGACGAAAAAGGGGCCACATACTAAACCTGGCAAGCTGAGAGGAGGCCTGCATGGCAAGTCTTACAAACTCAGAGACCTCAAGTAACCACATAGGGTGGTCTGAAATTAAAACTTTCTAACTAAAAACTAGTCATGGTGGGTAGTCATGTCCTAGGTCGCCATCTTTGTCCACAAAGGACAAAGGTCAATCTTTACCTTAACTGAGTCTATGGTCTTTTTGCATTTATGATAACATACCTTTGGAATGTCAGGATAATTTCCCTTTTCCAAATCCCTCAAGACACAGTCACTGCACCCGAGCACAAGACCACAGAATCCCTCATTGTTATTATTATCATGCTAATTGTTAAGTATTCTGTACCCACCGATGTAAAAGTATCTGCCTCATCATGTTGCTCTTTATCCAATCTCAGAGATCTCCCCGCTTTGCTTTCTCCATCCTCCCTAATCTACCATAACTAATTTCATGTAACCTTCCATACATCTCCTCCTTTGAGTCTGATGTATAAAGTAAGTGGTAAAACTGCTATGTCCCAGAGCATTCTCTCAATCCATTGAGATTTTGCTTGCTGGCAATTGTGGTTAGTTTGGCTCGAATAAACTCAAAACCATTCTCTACAGGTTTAGACGTTTCTTACATCAACAGCCCAATTCCAACATATGTGTATGGGGCGGGGGGGCGGTGCTTCTATATCACCAAGTGATGCTCAGGACATCAGCAGGTGTCCTACAACTTGACTCAATGCTGACATTATTTCCCCAAAGACAGCATCCAATTCCACAGTTGAAGGAGCTCAGTCCTACAAGGCACCCCCCTCCCCCTTCAATTCAGACACAAGCTGCAAGTTCAGGTGCTTCTGCCGTTCCCATAAATCTCTCCTTGGGTTTGATTAATTTGCTGGAGCAGCTCATAGAACTCAGAGAAACATGTTACTCACTAGATGCCTGGTTTATTACAAAAGGATATAGCTCAGGAATAGCCACATGGGAGAGCAGCATAGGGTCCATTCCAAGTGGTCCACTCTCCCTAAATCTCCACATGGGTCACTAGACCAGAAGCTCTTTGAAACTTGTCATTTCGTTTGTTATAGAGGCTTCCTTATCACATCTGCAGGATTGATGTATCTAACCTCCAGCCCCTCTCCCCTTCCGGGAGGTTGGGGATTGGGACTGAGAGTCACCTCATTAACGTAACAAAGGACACCTTCGCAGCTCTCTCCATTAGGAAATTCTAAGAGTTTTAATACCTCTGTTCAAAAAAGGGACAAAACCAAATATATGTTTCTCATAAATCACAATATCACAAGTCATAAAAGACGGACCAAACCTGAGCCAAATCAGGCAAAGTGTGAGCATTGAGGGCAGCAGGGGCCAAAGTGAGCTGTCCCGGAATGCCCACTGCATTTACTGGTAGTTACTCTAGTCTATACTTTCTGTTCTGCCAAATCCGACTGAGCAGAACAGGCAGATAGCAAAGCTTCCAATTAATTAATTCATCTGAGCAAAGTGTCCATTTCAATTTATTTCCTATTTCTCCTGATTCTTTTCTCACTGAGTACTCTATAAAGATCTAAAAACAAAACTTTATCCCTGCCAGCCTGACTCAGTGGTTGAGCATGGACCTATGAATCAGGAGGAGGTCATTGTTCTACTCCGGTCAGGGAACATGCCCCAGTTGTGGGCTCCATCACCAGTGTGGGGAGTGCAGGAGACAGCCAATCAATGATTCTCTCTCATCATGGATGTTTCTATCTCTCTCTCCCTCTCCCTTCCCCTGTGAAATCAATAAAAATATATTTTAAAAAATATAAACAAAACTTTATTTGAAAAAGGTCAATATTCAGTAAATGGAATAATTTTAACATGACTGCCAAGAATTTTTCATGTGTCTAACTTTTTTATGCTAGAGGAAATGATTGATTTGACCACGTTGGTGTATCATAAATGATATTGTTATAACATATTCATGTTTAATTTTCCATTTTAAATAAAATTATTGCCAATAAAGGTCATCAAGTTTTCTATCATTTTTTACTGATCTCAGTGAAATTCTATACATGCACAAAGACCATCTGAGTACATAGAAGGTTTCACTGGATAGCTTTAGAGTTATCAGAACCCGTAGTGTTAGTAGTCATGTCTCTCAAATGTAAACACATACTACAGTTCAATTAACTATGCAAAAAAATAAGGTTCCAAAAAAGAAGAGAAAAGAAGTTTCAAATCAGAACAAAAGTGTTTGCTTTAAACATACTTTTTGTGAGCAGCTTTAGAAATATAATTTTAAAAATTGCAATTAGAAAGAAACAATAATAAACATAACCTAATATAGTGTCTGACCCATGAAAGGTACTCAATAAATGTCTGCCTTGAATGAATGGTCACAGAAAAAACAAATAACACAATGTGGGATATATATGTACATATATATGAAGAACTATAGAATAACTTTACAAAGAAGAGATAGAAGAACATGCTTTTACATTCAAGGGATTCAAAAGATGATAAAAATAAATAATGTTCAAGTCGTTTCTGCAAAGGTAGAGGAAAATCAGTTAGATCAATGTATGAATGTTTTATTCTCCATTATTGATTCAAACTAATAGGAAATATTAAAATCCAAGAATAATTAGTTTTAATGTATTGAGGAAGGAGGAAATTTTAATTAAATTTTGCAAACAATAAATCTCATTTAAGTGTGAATTAATCATAAAAATGCTAGTATAAGTTGAAAAAAATGAAGAGCATTGGAAAAATTTAAAAAAGACAAAATTAATTTATAAAGACAGAGCATACCAACACAATAAATACCAATAATGCAATAGTAGAGAAACACAACAGGAAGTCAGGAAGGAATTAGTTTCACAGTAATAGGTTTACAGAAACAGAAAATGTCTAAAACAACCATTAGGAAATTTCCTTGAGTAATGTGGGTTAACAGCTGCAAGTGACATTTATTTTATAGAAAACACACACCCCATCGTATGGCCTATGCATGAGAAAGGTTTATCTAGAGTTGGCATTTGCTTTTTGTTGAATTCCTTATGGAGAGCTAAATCTAAATAAAGAATTTCAACTTATGATTTTTAAATTGTGTTTACAGTAATTAGTATATGGAAGATGAAAGGTCAAAGAAAAAAATAACATTTAAAAAATTACGTCTCTCTCCATCAAAGTGCTTCATGTTGTTCCAAGTCTTTTCAAACAATCTATAAGATGACACAGCATCAACAAAGATCAAAGAATGATATTATCTTCCTTACTAAATCCCTTTTCTTTTTGATAATGGAGAGAAAACTAAACATCATAAAGCTCTTCCTTTGAAAGCGGAACTCTTAACTTTGAAAATTGGAGAGGGGAGTGGTCATTTTTATGAGTCAAATAATTCAAACTTTTTAAAGGGACATTAATTTGTCCATGGCACCATGAGCATAATTTGCTAATTTACCTCTGCAGCAAATGTCATCTTTTATTAGTGGCCTGAAATAGTTAATACTTTCCTCTTCCCTGGCAGGTGCCTACTTTCCTGACATACTTAATCTGGTCTTTATAACGGAAACTCAAAATTGCGTGGAGAGGAACAAAGTGACACCTTACCTTCACCCACAAGTGTGACGCTAAACACGATGACAATTGTGCCAGACAGCAGAGACTCATTTCATATTTGCATTCTAACATCACTTACACATGCTTTGAAGTAACTAATCCTTTAAACATTCAAGGTTAAAGTGCTTCTGATTAACTGCAGAACTGGAATTAAAGTAAAATGCATGCTTTCTTTTGGTTCTGTTTTATTTTTTATAATCTTGGGCTAAACATCTGACCAGAACTATACCAAATCACACCAGTTGCAGAGCTAGGCTGTCTCTGCATTTATTGGATAGTAAGAGGAATGAGGGTCTGTGGTTGTGTTTTCCCAGCCTCTGACTTTCACAGTCTTTTTGGTTATCAATGAATATTTAATAAACAAATGGCTGAGGGGAGGGAGAGACAGAAGGATGGATGGAAGAAAGGAAGGAAGAACAACATAATTTTTATTATCTCAAAAATCACTGGGCAAAACAAGCCAACCAAATGTTATATGAATTTTCTGGGGCACAATAGGCCAGCAGTCCCCCACATGAAAAGTAAGTGGACTTCTATCTATATTTTCTTAAGGCCTAAAATTTCTCATCTATAATGAAGACTTTTCACACACCCACACCCACACCCACACACACACACACATACACACTCACACACTCACACACACACTCATACTTTTTCGCCCTGATATCCAAAGGAAATACTCATAGCACATGATCCAACCAATCCTCACATAACTTCAATGGGAGACAACTGGTCATTTCCAGCCACCGCACACAGAAGTGAGATACTGGTCTTCAAGTCCAGGACCTCTGGTTTATTATGACCTCTTCAGTTCTGTCACAGCCTTTGGACTACATGATGAATTCAACCGTTCCTTAGGTAATAGTATATCTTCTTGGAAGAAAGAGAAAAGAAAAAAATTTAATTGTTATGCCTCTCCTTTAAAAAGGAAACGAGAATAAATAGTACGCTCAGCAAGGAAATATTGGTGCCAGCTACAGCCCTCTGTTCTGCAGGCATTCACAAGACTGCTGCTGACATATATGATAGATTACTTCTCTGTTTGTTCCAAGTTCTCCTGGCTTTCAGCCAACACCACAGCTTGCCAAGGATCTTTGCCCTGATTGCACAAAGAATTCAACAAGTCCAGGTGATAGTCTCAACTATCAATTTAATAAAGACTCCATTTTTTTAAATCCCCCAGGCGTTCTCCACTGAGAACTAAATTCTTTAGGCTAAAAGACTTAAGTAAATTTAAAGAGTTAAAGCAAAACTTCTGAAAGTGAAAGAGCAATGTAATTATGAGAGATGCCTTCACTCCTAGGTCTTAGGTTGCATTCCATTCCGGCTGTGAAACAACATTAAATGTGGGTCACTGTTTCCGCTCATGTTCTACAACAAAGCACTCTGATATCACCAGGTGCTAGCTACGTCGTAAGATAGTGTTGTGGTTAAGTTTCCAACTGGTCATTCCAATGGAGCCTAGCTTATCAAGATGATTGGATATTTTATAAAGTACGGCCAAGCAATTAGTAGCCTATTGGGTTGCAATGCACTGAGTTCATCGATCAGAAGCCGTGTATGGAATCCTGCGATGCTTTAGAGGCATGTAAGCAGAGAAAGCAAATCCAAATCCACAAAATTATTCCAAGGATGATTAGCTGCTGCTCCTCCAGGAGGAAAGGGGCATTCCCAACTCAAAATAACTGATCTGCTACAGAGTAGTAGACCAGGTCCCCTAGAAGGACATTGCTGGTCACTGTTGCTTATCAGTCTTAAGGAAAGAAAATGTATGCTGTTGAGTCCAAGCATCACCGCCATTCTGATCCTCATAGTTGTGATGTCCATAAACCAACAGGCCAGCTGGAGAAGGAAAATGACTGACTCCCCAAGAAGAAATCATTTGTTCCCTAGTTACTGAAACCTCTTCTGCAATGATGGCCTCTTAGTGTGCATTCACATAAACACTGACATTCTCACAGTCCGGGCCCATTCTGAAATGTCCATCCACCCTTCCCTAAAACCATCCTGTCATCAATTCTTGAGTCTTGATTTTTTCAGGTCCCTCACCATCTAGTCAGGCCAGGATTAAAAATTATCTAGTATGTACTTACTCAGCCTTAAGCATCTCTAAAATATTGCCACTGTCCCAACCAAGCTCTGTGCCCCAGTATATACACCATTGCCCAAGTCACTCTGGCCCTTCCCTCAGAGATCTCTCTGACCTCCCCACAATCCAGTGATGAAAGGGTTAAAGTCTGGCACAACAGGGGGTCTTCAGCCCCAGTTTCAGTGCTAGATTCCAATTGCCTTAACTCAATTACAGATTTGAATAGCACCTCTGTGCCAAATAATTAGCTCAAGAGTTGCCATAGATCCTGACCTTAAGCAAAGTAGACCATAAAATGTTTCCTTCCAAACAAAGTGGACAATAAAATTTCTGCTCAAAATTTAACACTGTGAGCATTTTCTTTCTCAGCTGTCCATTCAGGACCACCCTGACAAGCAGCAGGACTTGCTCTCATCTGCCTGGTGCCAGTACAGCATGCGAAGCCACCTGTATAGCAGCTTGAAGTTACTCTATCCCTGACCCATGCATCATGGGAAACTCCCTGTGAGGCTTAAGAAAGTAATATAGGAGTGCAAGTGCCTGCTCATTCAACTCACCTGTGTCTTCAGGCTTCTCATAGGCTCAGCCTCCATCAGTTCCTTTCTTCTCAATCCACTGGATATGGATGACAGTTGCGAATGCCTGGCTTCATGGCTGAAGTTAAGACAACACCGTTTCATGTTAGGCGTCAAAGTAATACGGCCATTGTACGCCAGGTGGTTGATGATTCCGTTTCTGTGTGAGCCTCGCCACAAAGCCAGGAGTCATTTCTCAAAATGAAGGGTCATCTGCTACAGGGGCCTTTGCATTCTCCCCAACACAAAGGGTTTCCTCCGTGATGGTCTTGCGGGGGGTTGTCACAGGATCCATATAGTCCTCAGATGGGTCACAGATGATTCCAGCAGCACTGGATCCACAACTCACAAGGGCCAGGGCTCACCCTGCACCAGGCCAGCTGCAGAGCCTCCTCTCACTTTGGGCTCCACTCCAAACTGGCAGCTTTTGGGTGGTTGCCCAGAAAAAGGTCAGCGTAGGACAACCCAAAAGAGGCAACGCTATGTCTAAAATCCAAAGAGACCCCAACTCTCTGTGCCTGGTAAATTCCCTTTTAAAACTTCATGCATGAATGTTTCATTACTTAATGTAAATTATGAAATCAATATTTTTCATTTCAAAGTACTAAGATTTCAAAGCACTGCTCTATTATATTCATCAAATTTGATGATTATTTTTCTCCCACTTCATTTCATTCCTTCCTCCATTCCTTCTTTAAACCTCATCTACTTACAAAAGGGATTGAAAGTGTCTTGCCATGTGTCATTATTGATTTTTCCTAATAAAATGGTAGCATGAAGTTGCAGAGTAAGATAGAATCTTATAATATTCAAATAAGTTCATCATTTAGCTCCATTAACTTTCTATATCATGAATCTATATGTAGAAATCCTCCCATTTGAAAAACTAAAGACAGTTCAAATGCTCTTAGAATCTTTAGCTCTTGTTGAGACAAGCAGAATAAATACTGCCTCAATATAAGACTTTCTAAAGTGATTTTAACACAAATTGATTCTGAGTGCACCCAAAAAGTGCTTCACTTCTACAACTATTTATTGATTATCTACTGCATAGGCTCTATGTGAGGCCCTAGAGAAATAAGGCCCAATCAATAAGCCATTAGAGTTTACAGTCTAGTAGGGGATATAAATAAGTAGATAGAAAATTACAAGATAGCTTGATATGTTCTAAGACAGGACTAATAAGAGGGTGCTGTCATATTAGGGACCAGGGAAAACTTTCCAAAGGAAATGATATCTAAGCTGAAGACTAAAGGGAGAAACAAGTTGAAGCCACACAGACCAAGATGCTAGTACATGAAGGGAAGAGTGTGTGCTCTGGGCAGGGCAAAAGTGATGTGCAATGAACCATAAATCACAGAGAGCATAGCGTGTCTGGGTACTGAAGGCAGTTCACTAATGCTGGCTCTTAGAATTGGGGTGGTGGTGGTGATGGTTGTAGCAGGAGAATCATGGAAATATGTATGTGGTAGACACAAATCCTTGCCTGTGTTACGGTAGGCTCTCCTTTCTCTGCTAACAGAACCTCAGAAAATTGGCACAGATCCATTGATTTAAGGACAGCTAGGAAATGAATCAAGGTAATTTTACTTTAATAAGCCATCAGAGATTTGGTCAATCAGATCTAAGGAGAAGTCAGCTGAAGCTTCCCTTGGAGCTAAAATCAGGCCCTCCCGAGGAGAAAGCAGTTGCTCCCTTCTTCCCTGACTGGGATGCTCACAGAGGCCTTAAAAACTATCTGGACAGAGCTGCTACAGCCATCTTGTCATCAAGGAAAAGACCCAAAGTGTCGTAAGTGTTTCTCTCCACGTCCTGCGTGGTTCAGGGTTCGGGTCTGGAAGAGGAGCCACACAACAAATGAACAAGAAAAGACACAAGATAATTTGGGAATATTGGGGGACCAGGCGAGCAAGTCCAACTCAAGAGGAAGGACTTCCACTGTGCTCAGGCCTCACCAAGCTTTTTATAGTGAGAGGTAAACAAGGTAGGTCAGTCTGAGGCTTAATCCTATATCAGTTTCCCACATCTCACCCTTTTTTTTATTATTAAGCTACTATAATGAAAATAAAACTTAAACCTCAAGAACAAAACTCTGGCTATTAAAACAATAACAATGCCAATCCGTAACCTAAAACATTTTAAGACTTAAGCATAACATTTCAAGAACAAAAAATGTTTTAAGTCCCAATATCAATGTCCAAGTTTCAATGTCAGCAATGATATTTCAGTTCTGGATGGTGGCAATGCAGGTCCGACCCTCTCTGGTTTGATCCTGGGCAACCTGCAGCAATGCACAGCTGCTGACTGCTAGCATGGCAAAGCGTTGTCCGCGTCTCCATCTCTGAACTGTCTCTGCTCTTGTCTTCATGGCTGGAACATTACTGAGAATTCCTCTGTGTTGCAGGAATTCACGTGGTCTTGAAGTTGTTTTCTGAAAATATACAAACATATTCTCGACCGAAGGTTAATGAAGAAATTTTTACTTAGGGTGCCGGGAGCTGATCCATCCTTGCTGTTTCAAGGGACCTGGCATATATGGTATACTGTTTTTAATATGTTTGCTTACCTTCTTGGCACTATGTGTTTTAACCAAGGTCACCTCTCTGAGAAAGGTTGTTTCCCCAGGTAGAGATTTTCCCTAAAGTTAGGGAGGGAATAAAACCCCTTAACTAAGTGCCAGGAGGGTAATTAATCACTTTAACTACGAACAATCATGCTTAAGCTACATAATCTTTATTCCCTGAAATGGAGATAAGAAACGCCTTAACCTTAGGACTCGAGATTGATAGGATTGGAATCAACTGGTATAAATACAGATGTAACAAGACAACAGGACACAGAACCTAGAGACGGAACATGGCAAAAGATCCTGGACAGAAACTGGCAACAGAACCTAGAGACAGAACCTAGCGAGAGAACACAGCGAGACAACATGGCAAGAGAACCTGACTAAATCACTTTAACTACGAACAATCTCCCTTAAGCTACATAATCTTTACTCCCTGGAATGGAGATAAGAAACGCCCTAACCTTTGGAATAGAAATTGACAGGATTAAAATCAACTGGTATAAATACAGATGTAACAAGACAATAAAACACAGAACTTGGCTGGAGATCACTTAGCTAGAGATCCTGGCTAGGCTGCTGTTCAACTGAACGCTGTCTCTGTGTCATTCCTTCTTCGCGGACTCCGTCCACACCTTTGGGGACCCCTGGACCTGCGGGGGTTGGACCCCAGCATTAGGGTACTTTTTATATTTTCCCAAATGATTTTCCTTTGGCTTATTTTGACACCATGTGTGTTTTCCTGGGTGTCTTGCTGTTAGCATTATAAATGAAAATAAAAATTTTTCTAGATGTAATTTATTTACAGGATATTTCTCCTTACATGGTATTCTTCCACTATCCCCCCCTTTTTAATTTAATTATTAGGAGGATTTTTGGAAAATTTATAATGCAGTCTAGATAACTTTAAATTTTAATTTTTTGTACAAAAATATGACTGTTTTAGGTTCATTATTTGTTAAGCAATTTTTCCATGAAATGAAAATTTTGGTTAATACTTCTTGAGCCAATTTTAATCTGAAAACCTGATTGCTATTTTACTGTCAAATTTAATACTCTAACAACAATCTTAGTTTACACTGTGAATAATAATGGAAAGGATTATTTTGAATCCTTGAGAAGGCCCTGAGCATTCCTGGTGTTAGGCTGGTTGTAGATATAGGGTAGCTGTTGTAAGCCAAGTCTCCGTTGTCTGGGTACTGATCTCAGCTGGGCCAAGTCACTTTCTGTTACCTGGGTCCTGATCTGGACTGGGCATGGGAAGCAAGAAGCAGCCATGGAGGCAGGAGACCTCCCTCAGAAGGGGCGAGTGTTCAAACCCCTGCATAGTTGGGGGGGGGTGAGGATCTGTGCCCCACCTCTGTTGACCCCCACGTTCTCTTCTGCTGGCCCCTTTGCGACTGTGCCTGTCTTAGGTTGTTCCTCCCTGAGGAATCTTACCCGTCTTTGACTAACCAGCCATCCTCTGGGGCCAAGCAGGGTGATGTGAGGTTCAGTTCGGTCTCCTTGATAGCCTATGCCCCTGTGGCCTCCACGTCCAGCAACTGCCTTGGGATCCCCTCGCCTACTGGCGGGGCCCCAGCATTAATCACATATCTTGGGGAACCCAGGTTTCTTCATTGAGTGAGAGACAGATCCATGACACCAGCGACCACGAGCTTCAACCTCAGCATGAACAGAGCTCAGGCAACAGCTGTAGGCAATTGGATTTTGAGAAGAGGGACCCTCTTGGCAAAAGAGCAAGAGAGGTCAATATAGAATGCTCAAGTGCCTTCCCAGGGGGTCTTCCAAACAGTGGAAGGGATTAAATCCTTTAATGTCCTTATTAAATTTCTGCCAAACATTCAAAGAATTAGTTTGTAAATTTGTTTGGGATAAATGTACAATATGCTATCATAAAATATAATGACATTGTAGAATAATATCATGTAAGGATATTCTTTGCTCTAGGCCATGGCAATTCAATTTTAAACTGGCTGTTAATTTCTTTTTGTATAGACAAGTTCTTAGTTACATTTTCCTTGACCTGTTGTACAAAATGAGAGGTCTGAACAGTCTGTACCATAGATGGAACAGCAATGCCCACAGAAGTAAGTAATGTTACAAGGGCAAAGATTCTTGCAATTAACATTCCAAGAAATCTTTTTTGTCTTTTTAAGATTTTTTACTAGATCATGCAATAATTCGTAGGTTTGATGAGATTCCCATGGTTCAGTTAAGTTAGTGGGAACCCAAGCAAAAGCTGGTTGTTTTAAAATCATGAGGGAGTTCTTTTGAACAGTAGAATTGATACAATGGGATAATGTACAAGCTGTGCATGACACCTCATACAGATGGCTTGTAACAATTAAGATGCATCTGACTGGGGCCTGATAGGAGCACAAATGGATGAAACACACAGGCAGTAGCAAACACTTATTGAGAGTTCCTCATAGAGCAAAAATGGAACTATTTGAGCTATAATTGAAACTATACCATGTTATAGGTGCAAGTGCAGCAGCTAATTTCCACTG